CAAAGAGAAGTCTACGTAATTTGCTTACTTCATATTGTTTTTTACTTGTAGATTGTGTTGCCAACTTGTCTTCACGTTGTTCACCGGCCTGTTGGCTAATTCCAATATATTCGATGACCAGTCCCGAGGCCACCTCCATACCGAGCGAGACTGCACCTCCCCCTTTGAAATTGGCCACAACGGTAGTGACGTCCAATCGACCCCCAAACAAAGTGTGGAACATCCGGTCGACTCGCGAAACTCTTCGGCGTAGCACCGAGTCGCTTGACCGCGCCTTCACTAAGCTTAACAGGCCTCCCAGCAGGTCCAGTTTTACCAGCACTAGCACAAACGCCAGCAGTGCAACCAGTTCGGACGATGAGGTATTACATAGTGTGTGTGGAGACGTCGCAGTGGAGAAGCCACGCAAGAAAAAGACATCCTTATTTTCTTTTCAAGCCTCTAACGCCACTCACTTCGACCCTACCATCGGAAGGACTTCAGGATCCTCGGGCTCGTTGGGACTCCGCGCTGCCATGAATCTGTCCAGTCGTTTGCTGGGCAATTTACGCGGTCTTAAAATTGTGCTCGAGCCAACCGCTAGAGACACCCTGGACTCTTTACATCGCCTTTTGAAGTTGCATGTCAGCCAGCCCCCCGATGAGTTGCCTCGCCTAATGCGTAATCTCAGCAAGGTGATCCTCAAACTAGGTCTCTTGGCGCGCTCTGTCCGGCTCACTGGGCCTGAGCGAGTTCATGCCGACGACCTGCATGCTATCCTGCGAAACATTTGCCTAACAGTAGTCAGCTTCCCACTGCCAGACAATCTATACCCCGGTTCGATGTTCGGGACAGTTGATAACATGGAAGATTATGTTTTCGATAGAAACTACCTAATCAAATCTCTTCATGACTGCCATGAAGTGATGCTCCGCCTGACCGCATCACATCTTAGCCGACGTTCTCTGGAACGCATTGATTATATATTCTATGTTCTTGGTCGTGAAGTACTAGTTGATGCAATCTTTAATTCTGAGGCCAACCCTGAGCGACTTTCCAGGTTGGCGAATTTGGTTGCCTCAATTAATCGGATGCTGCGGGATGGTATACTTTAGCATCACTCAGATGCAAAAAGTCATTAATATGTTTCTTTTAACTTACTTTCGGCGATATTTATGCCATCTCCCGTTTCCTTCCTTTTATACTTTTTCTCGTTAGCTCATGATAGCGCCAGATTGCTAGGGAGTTTTTATTTTTTGTCTGCATTTTTCCTGCCAAAAGCAATACCACTATTTATTTTTAATTCCCGCCTTTACACTTTTATTTTTTACATATTCTCTTTTCTTTATCTCTCTCAAGACTATGGTAAATTCTGTTTTCTATCCTCTACATTCAGTAGTAAGTATCTCATTATCTATTACTTTTTTATATCGCTACACGGACTTCTTATCGCTCCCAATAGACAAGTGGTTGTGATAAGATTTTTATTTACATACACCTATTTTTATCTCGCCTTTTTGACCAGCCCAATGGCTTATTTCCGAGATCCTAAATGTGTGATCTTATTCGTATTCTCCATATTCTTAAAAGAATTCTTCTGTGCTAGCAATTACTTTATCTATTTCTGGTAGTCCCAAGCTTCCTTATGTTGAT